CGCCGGTACCCCCGTAGCCCTGCCGGTGCCCGCTTGCCCTCCCTCCGCTACCTCCCTTCCCTCCCCGGGGGGCTGCGCTCCCTGCTCCTACCGCCCTCTGCTTAAAGCAAGTTGCTGCCCTTGCTTCTTCTAATATTATTTATTGCGGGTTGATTTGATGTTTGGATTTTGGGTTTTTTTTTCTTTTCTTTTTCCCCTTCTCTTTTTGCAGAAAGGAATAACCGGGGAATAACCGGCCGGGCAGGCACCGTGCGGAAGGATGGACCCCGCTCCTGGAGGCTGCGAGATCCGGTGCTTGTCTGCGGCCGCGGCGGGTCTCCGGTGCTGGAAGAGGCAGAAAAACTACAACAAAAAAATTCCAAAACAACCAAAAGAAAAATAAAAATAATAGAAATAAGGCGGAAAAACTCCTTGTTTGTGTCGGACTGCGGAGGAGCAGATGTGAGCGGTTCTGCCCGTGTGGGGCCGATGCGGTGATCGCTACCGCCGCGTTTAACTCCGCCAGTCGGTAGCGAAGCGATTTCACCGTCCCGACCCGTCGCACCGCCGGCTCCCGACAGCCGGCTCTGTGCCGAGCTGCTGGAAGGAGCCGCTCCCAGGGATGTGCGCTGGCCACTGCAACGCTCCCAGCAAGCAGGCAGCCCTCACGGAAAGGCAAAGGGAAGATGCCGACAATTCCCCGTGGTTCGGGCAGCCCCCGGTTTCCCGCGCATCCCGCTGCCCGGCCGCAGCCGCCGGGGGTGCGGGGCCGGCCGGCGGCAGCGCCGCGTTCCTCCGGCTGCTGTTCCGCCTGCGGTGCTGAAGTGGGTTTTATTCCCTGCTCTCTACCAGCCCCCTGGATTTGGGGTCAGGGAGCTGAAGCCCATCAGCTCCACGGTCCCACCGCCGGGCTGACAACGCGCAGGGGACTCTCGGGGTTTTCCCTCTGGAAGGCTCCTGTGGGAGGCCCCCAAATTCTGCTCCCAAACTGGTGGCATCATGTCAGTGTTGGTGATCAAGTGCAAGGCTTTAGGGGCTAGATTGAGAAGGGAGACATAGATTTGTTGTTAAAAACTGAATGAGGAAAAGCAATCCCGCATTCACTCCTTCTTTACAGCTTCCAGCCGCTCCTTAGCAGATGAAAAAAAACCATGATCCCCAGATGCAGTAAATTTTAAATTGGGGGTTTAATTTCTTCAGTGTCCCACCAGGTTTTTTTAAAGGGAGTCATATAAACGACCTTTTTTTAACTGCTAGGTTGGTGCTGATGGCTGTCAGCCACGGGAGGGGACCGGAGCCACCCGGCCACCCAGCACAGGCCCAATCCTGCAGTGACAGTGGAGCATCTCCGTCAGCTCTCCCAATTGTGCCTTGGACTTGGAATACCTGTTCTCTGCCCCTCTCATTTCCAATGCCCATGCAGTGAGCTGTATATCTAACAGATCAGTGTTTCAGATATCTCTAGTATTATTTTTTGGTTTTAATTTTTTTTTTAGTTTTGTAAAAATTACTAATGATTTTAGCTAAAAAAGAGTTAATGAAGTGAGGAGCAGTTAATCCTCCTATCCTTAATTCTTCTCAGAGTCTTCCCTGTGTCCACCCTCCACACTTGTTTATGTTTATCTCTCCTTGCCATCCAATTTTGAGGGAATTTCCTCTCTGGGCTCCTTTCTGCCTTTTATCCAGGCTGTCCCACTGCTTGGGAGCCTAACTACAATTTGCCTTGCTTCCCATATCTCTGGGCCTCATTTCCCCGCCTCACTAAACCTCTTTATATTCCATATTCCTTTCTTCTGATCATGCTTAAAGGAGGAAGAGGCTGGAGTTGGGATTTAAAGTAGTCTTTTAGGAGTACTGCCAGCCCTGATCTGTTTTACTCTGCTGCTGCTGCTGTGGCTGTTCTGCTGTGTCATGGGAAGAGTTTCCTCTCCACACCAACCCTTGGAAGCGGCACCTCGGGCAGAGCCGCTCGCTGCAAGCCCCGGCCGTGTTTTACAAAGCCCCGGTAAGTTTGTCTGGTGCAGGATTGAGACTGGAAGGGGAAGGCACTGCTGCCTTCCTGGGCTCTGACCTGGAGAGCTGTGCACGATTTTGGGAGATTTGCAGGAGGCAGAGTGGCGGCAGCAGCAGTGACAGCGCATCATCGCTCAGCTTTATTTCATTTTCTCGAGCCAAGATGCTTTAGGTTACAGCCCAGCAGAAAAGAAAAATTAAGCATCTCTGTCAAAAGAGAGCTATTTCCCAAATTTGCTTTAAATTATTGCAAGATCTTGCACTAAAAAAGAACAGAGATTCTGTCTCCTCTTAAAAAATATTGTTAGTTATAAAATCTTTACGATCTTGGCTCTCTCCCCCTCCGCCTGTCTCCTTCAAAAACTTGCTTTCAAAAATGTGAGGTTTAAAGATGACTCTTCTCTCTCTCTCTGTCCCCTCTCCCAAATTTATGTTCCTTGGAAAGGCCTGAAGAAGCCTGAGGCTGTGTATGAATAAACACCAGCATGCACATACACGTGTGTATCCATGCACACACACAGGATTTAAAGCATCCCATTGAAGTCCACATATAGGAAAATCCTTGATCATGTGATAGGCTTTAATATCTGCCTTAAAATTAATCCCTAACTGATGGACTCTGTGTGGTGGCAGATCACAGGAGGCTCAGTAGCTGTGGTTCCTGTGCAGGTTTTAAAAAACTGCCAGATAAAATCCCCTGTTTGCTGTTGTATTAATTTGTTTGCTCACAGCAGCTACCTGGGAAATGCTCATCTAGTGAAACCAAGTAAGAAAACTTTATAGGGCTCTGATCTTGTTTTTCCACAGTTAAAAAGAAAGACCTTGTCATGAGGTCAGGACATGATGTTATTACACAAGGAAATGGCTGAAGTTGGCTGCAAAGTTCTTCAGGTGCTCTGTTGGAGATAACACTCCTGAATTTTATTGGAGCGTGAGTTTTGAAGCTGGTCCTGCTTAATTCTCAAAGTTGTCTTTGCTTCTTTTTTATTCATTTTTGTTGTTGACACTGAGTTTTCTTGTTTCACTTCTCTTTCCTATTCATTTCTCTCTTTAGTTCCCACGTGCTAGAAAGTGCAGTTTCATTTAGACTCTTGAGAGAAGAGTCTGATTCCAGAGAGCAATTTGCAGCAATATATTTTCCTTGCCACTCACACAAAAACATCACTACTCCAACAGATATAGGTATAAACAATGCTGACAGGCCCTCAAAACCAAAATCAGATTGTGAAATTGAGGCAAATAGCCCAAAGAACCCGAAATGTTCTGGTTTCTGAAATGCTGTCTGCTGTCAAAAATGGGGTAAAATAAAGCTTTGTTTACGTGTAGAGCAGAGTGTTTGTTGATCGAGTTTCTAAGGTGATGTAGCAGGAAATGCTGTTCTTGGGGAAAATGACATGAACAAAGCATGAAACTATAATTCAGCATCTATTTGTCAACTGATAGCAGGAGAAAAAAAGCATATTTATAAAGCAGTGAGAGGTTTTCACTGAACTTTTTCTCTCATTTGCTGGCATATATGAAGGCAGCTTCTCACCTGCTCTGCTCCTGGATGTAACTACTTGCAAGAGCAGAGCTAAATCATTTATCAGAAGGAATGTTTCCATCAGATCCAAATATCTCCACTGGCTGCTGTTTCTACGTCATGTCACGGATGAGACTGATGCTCAAGCAAGGTTATAATGTACCTGCATTTTCTCCAGACTGGTGCCAAGCTTGCTGAGTCATTTTCCCTGTTCCCAATCTGCAGCCGGCTGCTCGCTCGCTATTCCCTGTTATTTGTGTGGGTCGTAAGCTCAGCAACAGATGAGAATAAATGCTAATATTTCTTTAGGCTGCCTCCCTAAGGAAATAAAGGTTCTGCTGCGCTGCTTTTCTATGCAGGTACATGTCCATCCCCCTCTCCCAAAAGCTTCTGAACCCGTTAATGAATTCCAGACGAATTTGGGAGGAAACAGATACTTCAAACTCAGTTATATTTCTGCGAGGTGCACACGGGCAGGAGGGAAAGGCTCAGATCAGGAATTGAAGCAGAACTCAGCCCGGACGCCTCCAGGCTGGCATCCACCTTCAAGCCACCCACCAACCCTGGCAGGCAATTAATCTCTGTGTGGTGACTCTGAGCCACAGCACTGCCCTAGCCTGCCTAGTACAGTTTTCTCTCCCTGGCAAAGGATATCAGGGAGAAGCAGAAGAGCTGGGCTAACTCAGAGAATGAGCTGCTTTCAAGGCAAAATAATAGAGGGATTTAAGGAGTATCACTATAAGCAACGGACAAGTTAATACCTGGGAATGGCTGTACATTGTTTGTGGGAATGATTTAGCTGTTGTGTCAGTCCCAAAACAAAGCATGGCAGAGGAGCAGGTCAGGCTGTTCCTAGAGCCAGCACAGCTGTCAGTCTGGTGCTGTGTTGCTCTTGGCACTAAAGCTAAAGGCCAAGATCCCCTACCTGCACCTCTCCCAGACGTGGATGCATTTCCTCTGCAATGCCAACATCAGGTGAAGAGCAGCCTCGACCACAGGCTTTAGGCTAGTGCATCTGACAGCCCCCTCTCCCATCTTCCTTTCTGGCACAGCCTGGCTGCAGCTGAGGCTCAGAATCGGTTTGTGTTTGAGAAGAGCCGAGCCTGAGGTGTCTCCTCATGGGTGGTGCTGGGTCTCTGCCTTGGCTGGAGCCCTCCCAGCTGCCTAACAGAGATGGGAGCATTCCAGCCCTGCATCTCCACCTCAGGGAATGCTGGTCAGGTCAGGACTACAGCCAGGATCAGATCCATTCCCACCTGAGAGCAAAGGATTAATTTATGTGTCCTTTCTCCACCAGCTGATCTTGCTGGGAGCAGCCACAGGAGGGGGGACACCCTGACGCTGCACGTACCATACGCGCTCATCTCCATTGCAATTAGTTTGATGCAACAAACAGCTCCAGCATGACAAACTCCAGGCTAAAAAAAGCCAGGACTTCATCTGCATAAACTGGATGCACCAAGTATGTATTGTGTGTCACCTCCCTTATGTCCCACATTTGTTCCTGCAGCAAATGGCATATGCTCTAGCAATAGCACACGGTCCGAACGGACTCCTGGAAATACAGCAGGGATCTGATGCTGGTAGTCTTTGAAATTAAGACATTAGTTGTGATCCTGCTTATGGACCTCTTCTAGAAGGAAGGGTTTTGCATTTAAATTAAGATTCATTATCCTCTGATGAATAATCTATAGAATTGGAGCCAGCCTCCGCATCGATGACCAAGTTATTATTTTTGGTTTAGCTGTTAGGCACCAGCTGAGACCAGGGGCCTCGTTCTCCTGGCCACTGTGTAGTCACACCCAAGGAGACAACCTCTGCCTTGAAGAGCTTACAAAGCAGAACAACAAAAGAGTGAGCAATATAACACTCAGGCAGAGCAAACACGGTGACCTTTTGCAAATGTCAAGTTAATACCATGATCTGGAAGTGGAAGGGGCTTATCAGGGGGTGGGTGGGTCAATGAGGATGGGACACACTTCAGGGGGGATGGGAATGAGATGAAGGAAAAGCCACAGCAGAAGCTGCGTTGTGTGAGATGTAGAGGAAGCGCATGCAGAGCATTCCATGGTCAATTGGCACATCCAGGGTAAAAAACAGAGGGAAGAGTTTGATGACCCTGGCCACAGCTCACAGAATAACCAGCTCCCCAAAGCCTCACAGCCTGGAGAGGGGAGCTGGAGAGGGCAGGGGTGGACAGAGCAGTTCCTCCTACGCGCCGGTTCCGCACAGGCAGCGGGAGGTGTGATAACCCTGTTTTGGGGCTGTTTCTCTCCGTGGCTCAGCCTCCTGCAGCTGTGTTTGCTGCAGCTGAGCCTCGGGGCTGGAGTGAGACATAGTTCAGCTCTAAGCTGCTCCAAGTCCAGGGCAGCACATAATTGAATATTAACAGGAACAGCTCTAGGAGCTGCTGGGACTCAGGAAGTCACAATTCCTTCTCCACCGCTCCTTCGCCTTCGTGGGAGGTGATTGCTGGAGGCCTTAATGGATGTGAGATATAATATGTTTCCCTCACATTAGCCCCAGTTAGCAAACTGAGGCTTTAACCACATCCTACCCTCCCTGATCATTTCCTCATGCACCTCTTCAGCAGCATGACAAGCGCAGTAGCTGCAGCCACCCCAGCGACCGAGCAGAGAGGTGCAGAGAACACTGATTTCACACCTCATCTCCCCTGTGAACAAAGGGGTCCCACCTTTAAGGAGAATCAAATTTGCCAAATATACATTATTGAATTCTTGGTCATCCTCCTGGAAACAGGAATTATTTAGTTGCTGGACGGGGATCAGCATACAGTCATAGCTGTGAGCATCATACAAGATCCATAAAGTGATGTTTAAGTTGAAAACCTTTGGTACCATGCCTTTGTTAAATATTCAAGGTA